TAATTCTTGATAAGTGCGAGATTCATTACTAATTCCATGTTTATTGAAAAAGTATTATTGGTTAATTGTTAATAAGGGTAAAAGTGACAGATTGATGATTATAACAATCAAATATCAATTTTGAGAGACGGATACTAATGGAGGTGGAATGTTGATTGTATTTTATAGTGAGGGTTTTCTTCACCATCTATCCTTTGTCAATGTGAGGTGGATAATGCGATTGAGAATCCCTAAAATTTGTTCCCAAAACAACCAAAAAACCCTATACAAGTGCACACCTTATTCCATTTGTTTTTCTCCTTTTTCGGTGAATAATGGATCTTCATTGTAGGAAAATCATGCATTATTTTCGAAGCGTTTTCTTCACCATTAATCATCAACTGAGGTGAGGTAGATAACATGATTGAGAATCATTAAATCTGTGGCGAAAACGACGTGAAAAACCTACACAAGTGCACTCCCTATTCCCGTCTTTTTTTCCCCTTTTCCGACTTGTAATAGATCTTCATTGTGGAAAATCATGGCTCCCTTTGTTTCCTTGTTCCTATTCTATCATATTCAAAATACATGTTTGTTTCAATATTCTCAAAATTTAATCATATTCTATTCAACTCAAAATATTTAGAATTTTTTAACCTCCTAAGTTTGTTAATTTAAGTAAACGCCCCCAACCGACCACATCCAACCAATCGTGCGCCATTCTAGCAACTTTCGGCCACCGTCTGGGGGTAGTGGCTAGCTGCCAACATTTAATGGGTGAGTAGGGGTATTTTTGTTAATTTTAAAACTTTATTGTATGAGGTGTTTGATGAAATTAACAAATGTAGAGGATTAAAAAATAATCTTATCAAACACATTTTCAAATTCAAATCTTATCCTCGTAATAATAACACAACTTAACTTTATTCAAAAATACTACTCAAAAATATAAAACAAACACAACCATTGATTTTTTTTAAAACCTAGGATGTCGCAGGCCAGCTTGGGCCTGAATTGGCTCGCCAATGCCCATGTCTATCCTGATTCTTAAGAGCAAGTGTTGCCTTTCTTGCTAGCATGGTTACATGGATAATACTACTGGCCCATGTCTGTCCTAATTCTTCAAGAGTATGTGTTGCCTTTCTTGCTAACATGGATAATACAACTGATTAGACTGTAGAGTTTCAAAACGCGTTGTATCACTTGTCTGCACGGTCAATTAGCATTCTGCCTAACTGCAAAAATGTAGTAATTAACATTGCAAAGGTAATTTTTCACATTTTTTTTCTCATTCCTTCCGACATCTAACATTATCAAATTAAAAAGAGTAAATGACTATTTTCCGCCCAAGGTTTGTCTTAATGACACCTTCCCACCCAAAAAGTTTTATAATACAATGTTATGCCTAAAAAATATAGGGCTAACGCAAGACCAAGTCAGCATAAAAAGTAAGAGTTTGGATAGGCCCGCAGCCAGTTAGAAGCGGTCACGTCGCGTGGTGACTTGAGCAACACACTCCTGTCAGTAAAGTGGGTGCGCGTCAGACCAGCCAAAAGCTATAGTGATTCTATGTGTCCAATCCCTGCACCAAACCACGTAAATCACTCTAGAAAGTGGGCAATGGGACATAAAGAAAGATTTACACAGATAATCCCACCAACTCACAAATTTAGTAATGATAACCTTAATCTATCCCACTATAAATTGAGAGCTCTTCTCTCATTTAAGGGATTAGCTACTCTCTCTAAAGAAAAATAGCATTATCTCTCTTGTATAATCATTTGTAAGTCAGTCCGCTAATGCGACCTGACCCCTATCATTAATACAAAATCAGTGGACGTAGGATTTGCTTCCTTAGCATCTGAACCACTTTAAACGTTGTTCTCCATTACATTCACTCTCATTCTCACATTTACATGTGTCTTCTGGGTCCACTCAGTATTTCACACGTGCATTTGATTGGTGTCAAAATCACGCATCAACATATCAGATTACCACCCACAACATATTTCCGTCAGTAAATTTAGTTATAAAGAAGGGTAACATGGTCAAAATTCATTTATAATTAAGGGTAGATGGTCATTTTATTATTAAATAAAAAATTAAAATTGAAGTTGTGGGCTAAGGCGTTGCACATGTCCAGGGTACTTGAAATAAAAACAAAAGAAACGATGACTTTTGCGTTTTTTGGAAGCAGCGACTTTTGGGTTCTAGCTGACAGCTTCAACTGCATTCCGGTAATTGTTTACGGCGACCGGTGAGTGTTAATGACAAGGTAGACTAGCGGGGTGGACCTGTGGTTGGTGATTTTGGAGCTTTGGGTTCGTTTACAGTGTTGACGATAAGGGTTTAGGGTTGTTATCAGAGAGTTTTTTCAGCGAAGGACTTGTTTTTTAGGCGAACGGCAAGTTCTTTGGTTAATGACAATTGGTCTACTGACTCACGGCTTTTGAAGACGTTCATCATTGAGGCTGGTAATGATAGGGCTTGCGTTTGCGAGTGGTTGAACTTGTGGAGGACTAGATGCATATGTAGTCATCTTTTTTTTCACCTTTGTTGGTTTCGTTTACTATAGGTTGTATGGGAAAAATGTGGTTTTTGTTTTGTTGTTTTTGTTTGCAAACGGGTTAATGACAGGAAGATTTGTTTGTTGTTTTCGTGTACATAGGGTTAGTACTTTTATGATTCTCATAGTATATTTTCATGTTCTTGCTGGTATGGGATCCCAGACACAAAATGTTGTTTATGCCCCTACTGCATTAAGAAATTTCACAATGTCTCAGAAGGGAAAAACTTTGGATGAGCTGCTGCAAGACAAGTGCCTTTTGTTACACAGAAGATGGTAAAATAGGACTTGGCGTCAGGTCTTACCTTGATTTGTGGAGTTGGTTATGCAATCTTGGATGTTCCTTCTTGTGAAGTGTGCAATGAAGCTGTACTAAAGGTTGTATTCAATTGTTCCTTTGTCGCTCTGCTTTCCAGATTTGATTGATGTTTGTTTAGTGCAAAGTTTTACTTTTATTTTTAATTTGATTAGTTCATGTGATTATTTTACCCAATTAGCTTATTCGATACCCTTAAAGGAAGCTCTTTCTAGGTTGTTCTTGATGCTTTATCAAATAACATAATTAAGTTTGTAACGCTTCCAACTAATATAACTTTTATACGGGTCAATTAGTTGGAGGTTAGGATATATATATATAAAGTTATGCTCATATGCATAGTATCAAAGATAAAATGTAATATGATGATCCTTTTGGTTGTATGATTTGCTTATCAAACGGTAAATCAGTAAATCACAATGCAAAATTATTGTAGAGTGTAGACATGTATTGTTATTTAAGTTGTATTGTTTGTTCCAAGGTGCACTCATTTTGGTAGAGGTGAATTTAAGGTGGTTCTGAGTGAAAAATTGCTTGTTTTTTACTAGTTTTGGTTGGAAATTTTTTTGTGTAAAGTTGGTTAATTATTTGTATATTGTATGTATTATAAGTTTGTGAAAATTCTGAGAGGAAGTTATTGAGTTAATCTGTTTCAAGTCATAACCCTTGGAGATCATCAAGGGTTTCGAGTACATGAAGCACCTGAATTAAAGCCTCATGTTCATTAACCATGTTTGTCACCACAACATATCGAATACTGGTCATATTTTTGTTCTATGTATATATTACTGATCATAGATTTATGATTGTGGCATGTAGGGTGATGGAGACTGACTTGGCTTTGATATTTTTAAGTGAGAATTGTGCAAATGACAATTAATTGGCTTTGACTTTGATTTTTTTAATGAGATTTTTGACAATGACAATAAAGTGATTTTAACTCCATTTTGTGATTAAAATCTGTTTGTTTATTTACCTAGATTGAAAATATTTGTATTGTATTGTATTGCTAATTGCTTTTTTGGGGGGTTTCAATTCAAGGAATTGTATTGTGATTTTCAAATCTGCACTCTTGTTGGGTTTTAATTGATAAAATAAAATTCATTATATAAATGTGAGCTTATTTTGCATCAAACACATGGATAAAATGGTAATATTAACTGCTTCAAACTTTTAAAATCTCGACGGTTACTGATTGATTTTTGCATTAGGGACAAATTGATAATTTAATCTTTATACATAGTTAGGGGTAGGGGTGTTCGGTTCCGGGTACCCTGCTTTTTTTTAAGGAACCAGAACCAGAACAGGAATCGATGGTTCCTTGAAATTTGAACTGGAACCAGAACCGACGGTTCCGGTTCCTAGGTACCCAAAACCAGAACCTGTAACAATGGTTCTAGTTCTGGTTCTGGGTATCCTGTAAAATTCATTACCCCCCAAAAGTTTTTAAAATGGCAAAAAAACCTTAAAAACTTACAAATACAACCCCCACCCACCCCCAAACCAAACCGCTCCCCCCCCCCCGCGAGCACTTGTTAANAAAAAAAAAAAGAAAAAAAAAGAAATAATTTTTTAATATATGTTTATATTATTAGAGGACCCCAAAGTAACTCCTGCTTAGGGTCACAAATGTTCTAGAGATGACCCTGGTTCACTGATTATATTTACATATGTATGTTCAAAATATGATATCAATTTAAGGCCAAAGATGATCACCCTCTACCAAAACAGGTATTATGCTTCTTATTTGTAACAAAACAGGTTTTTTACAATGGTTTGGTTCTTCTTCCTCCACACCCATTTCCTGGAAATGCTTCAAGAGAACACCAGAAATCAAATTTGCCTTTCTTTTCGGTGCGGATATAACTTAGTCCAGTAAAATCATATGGGGCTGTATAATGGATTATTTTGGTTATGGCAATGCAAGTAATTGCAGGTTTATCCAAACAAAAAAGGATGCAAGAATGAGTTGTTCACAAAAACGGCTATGCTGGTTAATTATTGTACAGGTTATTAAGTGTTAAATGAATAATAATGTGGACTATCATATGCCGTATTTCATTAAAAATCCTCAATTTTATGCAAAAGTCATCAATATATCTTAATGCATCAAAATACTATCGTTTAATAGAGATGTAGTCAAGAGACAGTAACTTTATTGGATCAGTTACATTACATAGATAACTCCCTAAAAGAAAGCATATTCCTCAAATTGACCGAGTCCCCGGGTTTGATTAGACTAAAGTTGAATGTGTCATATTGCATATGACTCAGTTGTTCAGTGAGAAATGTAAACCAGGATTTATAATAGATATTTCTGAACCCATAACTATGTATTATTACACTGCACTATAAATTTGCTATAGGCTATAGTAACTGGTGTGGATAACTAATGCTGACATTTACTACATGGATGCAGAGACTCCTTCATTTCCACTTTTTGCAACCCTAACATTGACGTGATGCCTCACTCGGCGCTCGCTAGGTGACCCAATAATCAGTATGTGCTGCCCCATCACTAGCTTCCTTTTTCCTTCACTATCCACAACACTGAGTCCCTCGCACAAATCCAACCTTACTGTCACATTCATGGTCTTGCCTTTTCTCACCTCCACCCTTTCGAATCCAACCAGCTGCACATTGGGTACACCTGTGACTACTGAGATTGGTGGCTTCCAGAACACTAGTACCACATGAGCACCGTCCATCGGACCACTGTTCTTCACGCCAATGACAGCGTCAAAATGTGAATTGTCGCAGTTTATTGTCGAGACATCGATGGCTTCTCCATTGGAAGAGTGAATAATGTGTGGCTTTGGTTGGATGAGCAATGTGGTAGGAGCAGATATTATGAATTTGGAGAATGATGAGTAACTTAGTCCGCGACCAAATCCATAGATGGATTTGCCCGAGAAAAACCTGTAGGTTCTTCCAGGGAAGTTGGCTGTGGCGTTGGCTCTCATTCTCATGTCTGTCATTGGAACTTCATCCACATAGTCTTGCAGGTACCAAGTAAAAGGAGACCTTCCAGCTGACAATATGAATAAGTTATTAGTCTCCTAGCAGCTTATAACAATTACCGTGCATGAAAAAGTTTGAAAAAGAAAGGAGAATGCTTAAAGTGTGACATATGAAATTCCTGATGAAAATGGTATCGAGAGTTTACCAGGATTGTAGTCTCCGAAAATGACTTGAGCTATGGCCTCTCCTCCAGCTTGACCTGGATATCCCACCCAGAGTATCCCCCCAATCTTGCTATTATTCTTCGCAAAAGAGACATCAATAGGACCAGCAGACATTATAACAAGAATCAAAGTTCCATTTGTTGCATTAACCACTTCCACCACCATCTTCTCTTGATATCCTGGTAAAGTCAAGTTATCTCTATCAAGCCCCTCCGCTTCTATAGACTGATCGAGCCCCACGACTACCACCACCGCATCAGCTGTCGCTGCAGCCTTAGCTGCCCGCTCAATAAGGCTTGCATCACTGCATTTTACACTGCTACAACCCGGTTCATATGTCACGGATGACACATACTTTTGCAGCCCCTGTAAAGGACTAGTATAGCCGCAAGGTTTACCGGCGTAGTTGCTTATCATAACCATGGTGGCATTAGCATTTGGTCCTATAATTGCTAAGTTCTTGGTGGTATTAGAAGACAGAGGAAGAGCTCCATTGTTGTCCAGTAAAACTATTCCTTGTTTTGCTGCATCAAGCGCCAATAACTGATGATCCTCTGTACATACATCAGGCGGTCCTAAATTTCCGAATGGTTGCGATTTGAGATCCCCATCAAAAAATCCAAGTCTCATGAGAACTATGTAGTTGTATATCAAGGCCTGATCCACAACAGATTCTTCAACCTTGCTCAAGTTCACTGCATTCTCAGTGTACTTCCCCAAATAGTCCCCGCAATTCATGTTTAACCCTGTATACCATAATCATATTGAAATGTTAAATACATTCAAAAACAGGAGAAACTAGTCAACAATTTTGAGTCGGTGATTAAAATTAAGCAATTGCAAAACCTGCTTTCAGGGCAAGAGCTACAGCATCTTCAGGGGTGGCAGTGTAATGAATGGAATTGTAATAAACCGATATAGAGTCGCAATCTGAGACAATATATCTGCCCAAAGAACATTGATTATTTCAATTAGACAGAGTCTTTTTTATATGCATTATCTTGGGTTAGAATGGTCTATATTTACGTACCCATCAAGACCCCATTGGCCTCTGATAACACCTTTGAGAAGGTCTGGATCAGCGCAGGTGGGGATTCCATTTACTCTATTGTATGAACACATTACACTACTGACATGTCCCTCCTCTACACAGCTCTTAAATGGAGGCTGATACGTATCCTCCAGGTCCTGCTTGGTCACCTGCAAAACCCCAAATAGACCAGTCTTATGTTTAGCTAAGTCACATCCCCAGTTCTCTTTTTGCAAATCATGAAGAGAATCCAACTCAATTACTCATTTTGAAAGTAAATAGAAAATGATTTAATGTAAATGTACCTTAGCATCAAAGTGAAATCGATCAACGCCTTTCCAATTATCAACATCATAAGCAGTATAATGCTTGCAACAACTTGAAACCTTAAGCCTGTCATTAGTAGAACTCTCTCCGCCGCCCACTTCCTGCAAACCTCGAACATAATTCACAGCATATTTTGAAACCACCAGAGGGTCCTCACCAGGCGTTTCTTGGCCACGTCCCCATCTTGGGTCACGGAACACATTAACATTAGGACTCCAATATGTCAACCCGCCTAGACCAACATTGTACATGGCTCGAGCCTCGGTTGACACAACCTGCCCCATCTTAAACCATAGATTCGTGTTAAAACTAGCTGCCGACAAAATTACAGCAGGGAAACTGGTTGCACCAGGCACTGTGCCATTGAAATGTACCCCTGGACCAACGTCTGAGACTCCATGAAGTGCTTCGGACCACCATTCATATGCGGGCACGCCTAGCCTGGAAATCCCTGTGGCTTTGTTTACCAACTGTTGCACCTTTTCTTTGAGAGTCAAGCGTGAAACGAGGTCCTCGGCTCGCTGCTGATAAGTTAAAGAGGTGTTACAGAAAGGGAACTGGCTTGTTGCAGGCTTGCTCTTGTCGCATGCAAATTGTTGACAGGTACATGGTATTAATAGTGGGAGAAACAAAAGGCAAAGTGGTAAGAAAAATTGAGTATTCATGGCTTGCGTAATTTAGTTTTTTTCTAAGTTGGTTATGAATATGATAGAATAGTGGAAGTATGAGCATGGATTTATAGTAGAAGGTTGAACGCAAGTGTCCATCAGCATCAACTTTTTATCTACAAGACCAAAAGAAATTAAAGTTTGCTTGTGGATTGAGTAAAAGAAAGGTCATTTGACTATTGGTTCAGTTCTTCAGTTTGGGAAGAAATGATTTATGGATGCTTAGACAAAACAAAAGGTTCTTTAGCTCTCAGTGGCAATACTTACGTTTGTGGTCCACATTGTATTATTAAATGGTGATCTTTATCGTTCATATTTGTTTCCTGTATCAAACATATTTTGATATATAAATATATATTAAATGTTATATGAACTTATTGTTTGTTAATTTCTTCTCCTGTTCTTCTTGGTTTGGATCCGTAATTGTATTTCTCTAGACCTTGCTACATTATGTGATTGGGCATAGCTTTAAAACTTTCATAAAACAAGGGTGTGAGTGTGAGCTAAGTTTTTCCACAAGACCACTCAGCTTGACGTGAAAGTTGAAACATTGAAATTGTTGATCCTGTTAGTATTAATGTGAAAATTTGCACCATTAGGATTGTTAAATGGATCTCTTTCTTCAATATGATTACCGTCATACTAAGTAATAGCTATGATATATTAATGTCCTATAATTATCACAGCTATTACTTAGTAATTTGATGAAATAATTAATGTCGTATTTAAAGCAAAAGAATTATTTGTAGAGCAAGCCAAGCTGTGCACTCAATGAAGGGTGTCTTCAAAGAAATTGCAAACGTCATAGTCCATTAAAAGTAATCGTTTGTCAATATCAAGCATCGATCAGCAGCACTTTGAAAAAGCTTCAAGAAAACACCACAAATTTAAATCAACAAAGAAACATAAATGAAATACAAAGATCTTCTAACCATATGCCAAAAATATGTGAAAAATGTGGAATATATTATTTCATAAGGGCCATCTGTCTCAATAGCTGAAAATTTTATATTTTATTCATTGTCTCCCTATATTTCATTGCTTATGAAGTTACATATAGATTTCTTTAGTCATTCTAATTTAAACCAATAGAGGTAATACTGCTGTTGGTGCTGGTGCTTATACTACGTGGAGATCCATAGCCTTCTTCACTTCCATTTTCAGCATGCCTAATCCTAAAGTTTGTACAATGCTTCACTTGGCGCTCACTAGGTGACCCAATCATGAGTGTGTTGCCCCATCATTAACTTCCTTTTTTCTCAGATCTGCCTCTCCTTGCCTCCACCCTCTCAAACCCAACCAGCTGCACATTGGGCGCACCACTCACCCCTCTTGAGCTTGGTGGCTCCCAGAACACTAGCACCACATGTGCGTCGTCCATTGGCCCCCTGTTTCTCACACCTATCACTACGTCAAATTGTTGATGAGACATCAATGACTCTGCAGCCATTGGAACGGTGTGATAAAGTTCTAGGGACTTGACACAAATGTTGCTCTGATACCACGATAAAGTGGGTTTGGGTAGAATTCACTCTAAAAAACAAGCTCAAATGAGGAGGGAGTCTAACCGCATATATACACCTTAACAGTCCACCAACTAGGTAATGTCGGACAAATACAACTTCTAACAAGTGAATTACTTGTGACTTTAAGTGGTTGAATACTGAGGAAGGATGTAAACCCCCGTGTCAGCATTTCGATGCTATAAGGTATGTAATTCCACCCTTAAAAGGATTTTTATCAATAAAGGGGTAAAATGGTCATTTTGCATGCATTATGAGACATGAATGTTGTACAGTGTTAGGAATTGATGATACTGATAAGAAATATGGTTAAAGGGTCATGAAGGAGGTTAGTAGGGTTAAACGGCATAAACAGTTTCCAAGTGGTATAATGGTCTTTTCACAATAATTTATAGGAATCAAGTATCCATAAAAGTGTATTATGGGTAAATTAGTTAATTATCTTATGGATTTACTTGGTCACCAAGTAGAAAAGAGAAGTAAAATGACATTAAAGGAGTGTAATAATTATGTTGTAGGGGAAAATGACCAAAATGCCCTTATATGCAAAATTTATACCAAATGACCCATATCTCTAACTTTTGATGGACAATCCCATTTGGGAATTAAAAAAAAATGAAATATTTATAAGATATTTTCTTGGTTAAGTTGGCCAACACTCTTGGAACATCAAACTCTCTTCTTCAAGTCTCATTCTCCTTCATTAAAGGCTTAAATTCAGGCTCTCTCTCTCTCTCTCAAAATTTTCATAGGATTTCAATTTGAATTTCGAAGGAGATCACCATCCACACTTAAAGAACTTCAATTTCAGGGTTTAAGGTGAGTTTCAAAACCCTAGTTGTTCTAATTTTCAGTTAAAAGAGAAATTCATAAGTGGTTATGTGTGTAAGGTAGAAAGTGTGAACCTTTGGAGCTAAGGAAGAGTGTCTTTATGCTTTGAATACTAAGGTAAGGAGAAAAAAATCTCCCTTATGACTACAATTGATAACACCTAGGGTTGATGAAACTTACATCTATTTATGTTAATTTGAGTGTGATGCTATGTTTTGGTTATGGATTGTTTAAATGGGTGTGTTGGTGGGTGAATGTATGCATATGGAGGATGTTTATGCCAATTAAGAGATTTGTAGTTGGACGATGTTTTGGCACTTTTTGGTTTTGTAAAAAGGGAAGTTTTTATGGCCTTTTATACTTATAATGATATGACAAATACTATGAATGTGCAAATGAATGTGACATGGTTAAGAATGAATAGAATTTGGATTTGGCTTTTTAAGACTTATACTGTACATGCTTCACTAAATTAGTCATAACTGAAGTTATAAAAGTTTGATTGAGCTGATTCTTAAAGTATTAAAAAGTTGAGAAATAGACCTAAAACCTTTATGTTTTAGCCAAAAATCAATTCGAATTGAAAGATGAGAAAAAAATTGCTTGAATAGTGACAAACTGTATGACATCCACATCCTTAAATAAAATTCCCATCTTTTTTATAATTTCTAATAAACCACTGAATAATCTTACTATTGAAATTCCTTGTGTTGTATGAGAAATCGAACGAATTAAGTTAATGAATTTAATAGGGTAATATTCATGTCATGGAGCTTTGCTAAATTGATTGATGAATTGTGCAATTGGCCAAGGATACATGTTAAATGAATGAATAGTATGATTGAGCATGGGAGATGTTATCCCATATGTTTGCGTTCATAATGGTAATGCGTATAGCTTGTTTAGTTGACTTATGAAAAATTTATGAAATGTTAAAGAATGAATTCCATGAGTCTCTTGAGGTATAAACCAAGATCAGAGGAATGGAATCTTTGTGGAAACCATGAGTCCTTTAAGGTGACAACCAAGAACAAAGTAATGGTTCAAATGAATCCGATCAGATAATAAAGACTAATGAAAACATCAAGTACAAAGACAAAAGAAATAGACATGCCATGTTTATGAATATTGCATAAGTCATATATGTTCTATGTTATATTATGTATGGTTATGTTATGACTTATGTTTATGAGGAAAGTCCAAAGTGTATGACATGTTTGATGAACTTGATAATATCAATGAATGAAGGTCATGTCTTGCAGGTAGGTAAAGGTAAGGTCTTGAGTAATATGCTTGTATAATGAACCTTAATAGTTTATGAAAGACCATATTTCCTTACTGAGCGATTAGCGCTCAACTACGAAATTTTTTAAATGTTTGCAGGTAAGAATTGAGCTTGAAGCTGGGAGAGGGCTTGGGAATGACATGCGCATGAAGGAATGCTTTTGCTATGTTTTGAATTTGTTGTAAATAACATCAAATGGTTTTTGGTTTATGGATGTTGAAGTAAATATGTTTTATAAACCTAGTATGACCATTCCTTGTCAAATTAATGAAAAGGTTAAAGAATTATATACTTGTGATAATAACTTGTAGGAAACTAAATTTCTTAAATCATTTTAGCATATGGGATGTTAATATCATGCTTTAAAAAAAAAAAAAAAAAAAAACAAAGACAAAAGTATAGGTTTTAAAACAAACTTATTTCCTAGGTGTGTCTTTTCTAGGTTCTCAATGGCTAAGGGGTACTTAGGAAATACCTAGTTAGGGAGGGGTTTTACAGTTGGTATCAGAGCACGATTTTGGGTATTCTAAATGATGTTTTGATTGAATTGTTATAGTTATTTTATATTTAATTGATGTTGAAATGGTGTTTGTAAGTAATGGAAGTATCATTCCTCATGCGTCCCCAAGATACTCTCTCCAGCCGATTGCTGTAAGTATTTTCTTTACTTGCTTAGTGAATATAATTAGCTAACGTTGATTGAAATTTGTGTGAGTAAAGGGTATGGCTACGAGGCATTCACGAAAGGTTAATAGGAGGGGCAAGGAGAATGTTAATAAAGTAGGCACTAGTGAGCCAGTAGCATCGACTGCCAATGCACCCCCTAATAGTGGACCAGCTACTTCTACCCAAAATGCTTCTGTTTTGGATGAGACTACAATCAATAGGATGATTCAAGTAGCCATTAGTGAGGCCTTTATGAGGGTTACCCTGGAAAGTATAAGTAACCAAGTGAACGCAAATCCCTTAGTTCCAGCAGTTTAGCCTCAGCTCCAAATACTAGTTCCATCTCTAGTAACCGGACCAGTTATGCCGATGGGTGCTACACCTTTTGGTCAAGTGGAACCAATCTATAATCTTTCTCAAAAGCACCAACCTCTAGAGTTTAGTGGTTCAAACGATCCGTCGGTGACAGAGGAGTGGAAGAGACTGTCGAATGGGCAATGGCCTTGTTTCCCATGGGTGACCAAGAAAAAGTCCGCTATGCTTCCTATTTGTTGAAAGGAGATGCCTATGTATGGTGGAAGCTAATGGAGCATACTGATGTGATGAGTGCCCTTTCTTTGAATGAATTCAAAAGGCTATTTGAAGCAGAATATCGGTCGGCAGACATGTTATCCGTAAAGACTCAAGAGTTCACGGAATTCAAGCAAGGTAATATGA